TCATCCCCTCGTTATTTATTTATTCTGAGTAACGATTTCGTTGACTTTTCTTTGTATTTTGCAGGAATATTTTTACCCATTGTAAAACCTCAGGAATTTTTTGGTTTGATAAATGTCTCGTTATGTGAGCTGATTTAAATTAAATATTTTCTACATTATTAATCTTTATTTATTGATACTGACACATCAGCTTTCGCATTTTAAGGCGAAGGGTAAATACGTGATTCATAATTACCCAGGTACATACAACATTAAATACGACAGCATTTTCATACACCCCTCCGCCCTCCAGGACTATTTTTCACAGTTGGCAGCCCTGTAAACAAGCTGTTATCAGCTGACTCCAGACGCGGGAGTTGCCAAGCTACGGCACGCGCCGCGTCGTCTGCCTCCCGCCAATTCCGCATGTACCGTATTGTCTTTAGCAAACGCAACGGAAAATGGCGCCCATTGTTTTCGGCGTGGGAGAAGCCCCGGGATGTCGCTTTTTGAGTTTTGATCTGTAGAACTAATTCCCACAATCGTTTGTGATTAGGATTGAAAATATCCGACAACGTAGATCCCCATTCCCTCTCTTTTCTTTCTTGATAGGAAACGTTTACTGAGTAGTGTTCCCAAACAACTGAAGTTGCCGATTTTGATAGAAATAAAAATCGATATTTCAACCAATTTAGCACAAGGATCTATAAACGTTCACGGATGGGGTTGCTAATGCTGTTTTATAATTGACATTTATTTTATTGGATTACTTTAACCAAATTTTGTTTTGGGCCGTGTCGTAGTGATGTCAGGAAACTTTTTACCTCTTTCGCACCGGACGGTTGATGTTAAAATGAACAAATATATCAACTCTAGGAACGCCGTTGAACGATGCAAATACCCATGTTTCAATTATTTGCGGATATTTTTCTTGTTAGATACTTTTTTGTTGGGCTTTTGGAGAGGCAGTTCTGCCGTGATCCTCGCCTGGGATTCCTGCAGTTTTATTTACGAAATTACCTATTAATATGGTTTCTGAACTACTGAGTCAAGTCATTATCTATTTCTCATATCTGAAAGCTATTGGTGTTTGCCAAGATTCGAACCCGAGTGTAAACAAGTAGTCAGAGACCCTTCCAAGTACTAAGTTCTAGTTTTATTTTATCCACTAGAACAATCCAAGCCAGTCCTATTTCAGTACTACCCCTACTACTACTGTTCCTTCTTTATCAACATGTACTCCCTACTTTTTCTAAGTCTACTGTTTTAAATATGCTGTAAAACAAAATATTACATCTACGCACGAAAACGTCGACTATTCTAGCGAATGTTTAGTCCGGTTTACGAGCAAAGGGCGTGGTGGGTCTGCACAAATCAATTTGTCTGTCACAAATATTCAAATATTTCCTTGGTCGTAAAGTGTTGAGTGGTTTGGTCACGGGGCAGGTGTTGCGTGGCACAGCTGTTCAGCTGTTCGGTGTCGGGTGGCGGTCAAAGGTCACATAACCTCAAACTCTCCCGCGCCCGCGCTACGCCGTCACAGAGTATAGTGGCGAGGGTCGGCTGGACTGCAGACATAAATATACATCTGTGCAATTTCATGTAAATCGCCGAAAAACTGTGCATTTATGCAAGAGTTTCCTCCTATTATTTTAATAAAAGTGGAAAAATATTTTAAAGCTGTGTTTCGTCCTAAAGAAATAATTAAATGGACCTACCATACTGCATTATGTTATCTTCGTGGCTTTTACGGTAAAATGCTGAAGATTCGTAGTATTCGTGATTCGGGCGACGACCGTTAAAAATTGGTCGATCACTTCTGTTCTACTTTTCTGGTGCTTTTGCGTTGAAACTCTTCTACCTAGACCTAGACCATTGACTATATAGAGGTGTATAGTCAATGCCTATAGACATTCCGTCGAACATTCCATCCCTATGTTCAATTAATTTAGATTTAGATTAAAAGTAAATATATCATAGGGGAATTGAGCCAAGATCTTGGAATTAAGCAGCCAACAAAGTATGAATGACATTTGCCTATTGGGTCTGATGATGATTGGAGTGTTCAATCGAAATCAATCACCATTAACCATCTTTTATATATTTTAATTGCCGTCTTGTGAGTTAACAGTATAAGCGTAAATATATATTTTAAGTGTTACAAGACGTATTTTTTATTTACTTTCCGTATAGGATATCTTACACTTTATATTTGGTTTTATGAAACAATAAGTTATAAATAGACCGATCTCTGCCCAAATAATATGATGTAGAGGTGACGACAGGTCTAGGGGCGGGAAGGGGGAGGTACAAGTCATTAGGGAGTCAACAACGTCCCCCCCTCCCCATCACACCAGGGGGTAACACTAATTGAGCGTGCGCCTCGACAAGAAAATGATCATTGGACAGTTTGACCCGCGGCGAAAACTGGGAAACTCGCGCTTTTATCTTTGATCTTTTTGATAGGTTTGCTCTCTTTTGCGTAGCCTATAAATAACTCGAGTAATTATTGTCCGATTTTGATGAAATTTGGTTTAAATGTGTAAGGCGGGATAAATTTGAATGAGTTCGCGAACCAGCATAATCGGACCATGGGAACGAGGTTTTGAGGGGTGGGAGGGGTTTATGGGAAAAAAATTGGGTTTTCTCATTTCTGACCCTCAAAACACAACATTTCCCAATTTCTCTCTAGACCTTTTAAAGAGCTTTAAAATACGCCACTAGTTGGAATTTAGTATATCAAAGTGTTTTCGTACGGTTATAGGTTACGGAGAAATTTCAAAAATTGTCAATTTAAAATTCCCATGTTATTCTTGTGGAGTATTGTAAAATTTTGATGTTTGCTTGTTTATGGATATATTTTGATCAAACTTGGCAAATATTTATTTTATACAAGGCTGTTTACTAAAAACCATACTTCATTAGTTTTCTTGTAGTAGAAAACCTAGATACTCGTTAGTTAAACCTAATGCCATTTAAATAGATTTACAAGAGATTTAAATTAAATCTATTTAAATGGCATTAGGTTTAACTAATTATTAGGTTAAAACATTCTAAATCTGCTCTTTCTTTTTGAAACTCCCTGTAAGTATGTAAGTAGGGAGACAAATAACATTAGATTTTCTAATTAAATTTGATTTTAATCAAAAGTAAGAAGAAATAATGCATAAAGTTTTTTGTTTAAGTTAGGTAGGACTAGGAATAAAGCAAGACAGTAACAAAATAGAAAAATCAATACGTTTATTATTGTACAGTATATATTTACAGGTTATACAATATAAGACTTAAATTCTAGTAAAAACTAATATTAAAAAATTTACAATAATGACATTCATTTGGGTTGGAAGACATTTTTACAAAGATATAAATTACTTAAATGATTCACATATGATACGTTGGGTTATCACGACTTTCTTACAAAAATACTGTAAAAATATTTAATAATGTATTATTTTGTTTGGAATTAAGAAAATTTGTTTAAAAAAATATAAATATATATATTTAAGTGTGATTTTTTACTACCGATTGATTATACACTTCTCTAATAAATTTGAGTATTTTACTAACAATTAAAAATAATTAACTAAATTAACTGAAAAATTAAAATATTAATTTATTAAAATAAAAAAAAATATTAAAATTAAAATTAATTATTAATAAAATAATTAAAATAGCTTATTCCCAGGGAAACTTGTTAAACAAAAACAAAATTTCTGTGCTAATGAACATAATATTGATACGAATAGAAGTAACACTGTTATAACTTTTTACTTTACACATTGTATTTAAATAATAAAATTTAAACCTAAAAAAAGTTTGAACTAAGTTTGATTAAGATGTTAGTTAAGTTTAAGTATTAAGTTTGAAATTTCAAGTAAAAAATATTTGTTTTATTATTTTTTAAACAAATGAATAGACAAAATAACATTTTTGAACTGTTGAATTTATATCATAAAATAATGTACACTTTACCATTACAGTTTCACCGAGATTGATTAACATTACGTACTAAAAAAAAATAAATATAGTCTTATTTATAGCTTACACAGTTTACCATATCAAAGGTCTTAACTTCGATATGTTAATACAATTTGTACAGTTATTTACAAAATTACAATTATAGTTATATTAGGTTATTCATTTGTGTTTTCTCAGTGAACACTTTTGAATTTTTTTATTTCATCATAGTTAAGGTGATTATGTTTTCAACGAATTTTTAACTTCAATAATATTACCTATAAAAAAAAATTATTCAAAACGTATTGCCCAATTTTTACAAGAATAATGTTACCCGTTCTTGATTCTACAAAACAAAAACAAATAAATAACCTAATAACACTATTTTACATAATCAATATAACACATACACTATGTCTTTGGTAATATTTTAATACTTAAAATTATTTTCTACTAATTTCGATTGGGCTGAAAGACACATTTTTACTAAAATAACACATAGAAAAATCTATTGCTTCAATGAGTCTAGGTTAAAAATAACAGTGATGATTAAACATAATTACAGTTATGTTTTATCTGAGTATACATTGTTATTTTGTTTTGAGTACAAAGTAAAAAATCTCTTGTGGGTAATACAGTTATTGTGAGTATTTTTATGTCAAAAGTATATTCAAACGTTAAAAAATTGGATTTAGTAAAACTTAAAATATACAATAAGCAGGTTGAAAACCTATAAATATTTTCAGTGTCTTTCATGATGGGCATAATGATTAAAAATATATCATATAGTTACATGCGTTTAAAATGTAGGCTACAAGGATTATAAGGATACATAGATTGAGATAAAATTCTAAATTAGTTCTGAGCATTTAAACCTTGTCTGTCTGTTATCTATCACAGTCAATAATCTGGGCCTGCAAAACTGGTGTATTTCATCTAGAAATAACTTTAAATAAACAAATAAAACTTTTGAAAATGTAAATATTTTACTGTATTAGAATTTAAAGAGATTTCTATTCTTTAAAATGTAAAAAATGATGAGTTTTCTTTAGTTTTTGAATTATTTAGTAATTTTTGTAATTTTAAAACTTCCACAGAAATAATCAGGTTGCAGGAAACTTGATAGTACAACTTTTAGAATGACCATTAAACAAAATTAACACATGTTTCAAGTAAATTTTAAAACGATTTGATAAACAAAGTTTTTAAAGGATATACGTTGGCTACTGAAGAAAATATTAACTCGTAAAACTTGTTCTGTTTAATTTTATATATTTTAGAAGACCCTGAAGATTTTCTTTCATGGAGCATTATGCAGAAATACACCAGTTTTGGATTTAACAGCTATCGATTTTCTTCATTTGTAGCATTACGTGGCCAGTATTGAATCCATAGCAGTTTTGTGTCAGTTGGAATTTCAGATAGGCTGAGACTGAAGATGAAGATAAGTCTCAGGCTGACCTACAAAGGACTCTTCAACATGAGTGAAACATCGCAGCATTCTCCAACTTGACGCCAACACCCACTTTGGATCAGCTTGCGAGAATATTTCAGTTACCTCAATGCACATACTCGTTGACATACTGCTGAGTGTCGACGATGACGCTGGTGTATCCGGGTCCAGCAGCCACGGTCGGTTCAGCATATTGAGGCTGCTGGGGAGTGAAGGCGCAAGATGCTGCTAGCAGATGATGGTCGCTCTCGCTGCTGCAGCTGCTGCTGTTGCTGCTGAAGGGACTCACCGTAGAGGTCGGCTGCTGATACTGGTACAGCAGGTCTGGGTAGTGCTGATACTCCTCTGGGTAGTACTGCGGCTGAGCTATACCTCCCATGCCAACTAGGTCCTGCAAGAGGAAAGACAGTTGGTTAGACAATTCCTGACAAAGTTTTCTGGAAAGGAATAGTCATTTAGAACCACTTTAGATGAAGAATTAAATTGAAGAAAAATGATTTTCCAAAAGCATGAGAGTCTACAGAGGAGAAGTGGGCAATTCAACAAAACTACTGAATACTGATCTGACTGGACTATAATTATTTTAAACAAAGATTGATCATACATAAGCCAACCAAGTCTGGTAGATCAATGAAATGTCTGTTCTTGCCCCATCCTGAACTTCCAAGGTTTCAAGGTTTACATTATCTTTGTTTACAATTAGACAGAGTTTCTTTGGTTTCATCTAATTAATTCTGCACTACATATAGTTAATTAAACCAAAAGTAATTCTTAGAAACGAAGAGGTTCCATTTAGTTTTATTCCATAACCAATGGAGAATATGTGACAGTTTACTTTTGTAGTCTTAAAAATCCAAATTAAGTGTCTTGGAATATAGTGTAGCGTGTAGCTGCTAAGAAATACGAGTGTATTTTGGTTGGGAAAATTGGTTAGATTGGTGTTTACACAAGTACACAGTAAAGGCTAAATAAAATCTTAGGTAACAACCTGAAGACATACCACATTTGTGGTGTAGTCGTTGTACAAGGGCGTGCCGTTGTCGCTGTAGTCATCTTCTGGTCTCTGGTATTTGAGCGGAACAGTCCTGGACCTGAGTTTGCTGGCTCCTGAGTCTATAGATAGAGCCTCCTCAGTGCAGCATGTGGATAACAACAACTCCTTGGCCTCCAGGTCACTGAACATCAACATCAGTCAAACTACAGAAATATAGCAGCACCTTGGTGGGAGAAATGAGTCCAAACTTTGACTTTTGGATACTGGAGTTGGAATGCTTGGATTGCTTGAGATTACTTTTCATAATTTTGAGCAATGATGCAGATTCAAGTTAAAGTTATACATTTTTTTTACTTATCCTTCAATTTTGTTGTTGTTGAAACATTGCATTTCTTTAAAAAATTTGCAGGATGATCATAATCCTCTTTATCTAGAAGTTTACTCAAAAGGAAAAGGAAAACTTTTCAGAGGACCTTCTCAACTGGCTTTTCCTAAAAGATTAACGTAAAAATACTATTTAGACTGATACAACAATACATTTCACTCTTTGACCTCCAATTTTGTGCTAAACCACTCTCTCCTACTGTCTAGTTTGATAATAAGTCAAAATTAAACTTCAAGACATGGATAAGATTTTTTTTAATTTTCAAGTTAAATTTCAAGAAGCCAATTCAAAGTCAGATTGTCTTGGATGACATGAACAACAAGCGGTGATTTTGAGCCTAAAATACCCACCTGAGCACATAGTTGACGCTGACGATACAATGAGGCCTGGAAGACCTGCTGTTATGAACGATGGTAGCGTAACTCTGCATCCACACCCAACCTCCATCTTTGGCCAGGAACCTGTAGTACTTGGTGGTCACCTGACCTTTGTTGAGCACTACAACAAACATTGATGCCAATCAAAACCAAAACAAAAATTGTTTCATGATCTTCTTGCAATTACATGATTTGTGTTGATAATGATTTTATGAGATGAATTATGTGGTGAAGTGTTCTGCTGGACCAAAGCAGAGAAGGGATTCTTTTAGCTAATTTTGAAAACTTTCTAAAGAGCCAGGTAATGATTGAGTAAAATTGAGATTGTTCAAAGTACTAAGCTCTTAGCATAAAATGCCATGTGCAAGCCCAGAATATTTAGGCTGTTATCCATTACATAAGTTAATTCTATGGCCCAAAACTAATCACCTGAACACAAGGGTTTTGATTTTAATGCTGAATTATTTGAATAAAGTTGAGAATTGCAAATGTAACTCACGTATATAGTGGGAGAACCGCATATGCATAATGTCACAGGCATGGATGTAGTGGTAGAGGGTCTTCTCTATCAAGTCTTGAGGTTCGTAGCCTGTCAGCTGAGCCACTCTAAAACAGAAGAAATCTATCAATACAATGTGAGAGATTTTCATTAAATAGACCCATCATCATCATCATCATCTTCTTCTTCTTAGGTTAAACCATCGAAGTATATAACACTAAACACAGAGGTGAAGACATTTTTAGTGAGGAAATGCTCCCCATCATCTGAGAGCTGGCTGACTAATATTGGAGATATTCACTAGTTCATCGCGATCGCGGGATGATTTTGTCGCGACCACGGAGGAAGTGGAGGAGGATGATGTCCACGTGACCGTGGAAGATGTTCACTATTTCAACAGAAGTTCGCGATTGCACCGCGTTGGCAAATGTTCACGATATCGCAGGCGACGTTTACGATTTTACCACTGCTAAAAGTACTATGATAATTTAATAATTTATTTATTATCAAACCACAATTACGCTAAAGTCAAACATTCAGTCGAGAAAATGATGACAGCGCAAACTAAAAGTTTCTATCGGCACAAATGAACAGTCGAAAATACACAGAAGCGATCTCCTTGCTTCTAGTTCTAGTTTACTACATAATGTTATGAATTTTGAACGAAGTAGAACCTTGTTCTAAACTCATCATACGATAAAAATCTAAAATTATTACAATCGTGGTTCATTCTGGAAACGCTCCAAAATATCTCCAAAATAAAATAATGTAGCACGCGTGCCACGCCTCCATTTTAATGCCGCGACATCAACGCCACATGTCCGTTGTAAATAATACGAGTGGGTAGACCTAGAAAAATATACGAGGTCTGAGATCGTGGATATTTTTAAATAAAAATATGACGGATTTTGTTCAATTAGAATCACATGCTATATCAAGTGGTGCCTGTTGAGTCAGCCAGTGGATACTGGAGAGTGGCGATCGGCGTACATTTACAAAACAAACAGTCAACAGCTGGGCGGGATTACGCGATGCGTTGGCGGGATGGCGGGTGTTTGACGAGACTGGTGCTTCCCACACTAGGATTTGGCGCGAAAATCTCCCAACTCGATGGTTATGCACGGTCTGCAAGTGGAAAAACGATAAAAAGGGAAAATTTATTCTAGTTGTATTTGTAATGTAAGGTTCAAGGTAGAATTTGTAGAGGATATTTCTGTAAGATGTTTTAACTAATGGAAAATCCTGTTTGTGTTCATTCACAAATTAAAATTTAAAAAAATTAATATACTAATTAGCTATACCCGATGTATTCAATTTTATGATAAATAACCATTCTCGTAAGGAAGACTATGGGAAATAAAAGATTTTATTACCACTACACATGAGGTTTTGACTCATTTTAAAATATTTTGAATTGACCTTCCTACTAATAATTTGAACGAATTTCCAACCAAATCTTAATGTGATTTGAGAGCTATTAATTATTCGACTTCACAAAAATGTATTAACATTTATGATAACACTATAGGTTAAGTTCTCATTCCACTGTCGGACTAAAAGTTATTCGCCGACTGAGAGTGGAAAATCAGGATATATTTTTTTAGAAGATTGAGATAAAATCAGATGTTTGCGTGTTAATTAGCTATACAAGGGAAAATTGATAAACAAAATTGTCACATAAATACAATAAATATCAATAAAGTTGTGAACAATCGATAAAGTATTTGAAATACTCATTCATACAGTATTTGCAAAATCTTATGTTTGATACGAAAATAGCGGTCCTTATAAAGACGACAATAGTTATGAAAACACAATTAACAATCCATTTTAAACCAGTTACGACTCATTTAGAAATGTTGTATATCTTATTTAATTATTTTTATCAGATTCTTTATATGATGCAGTAATTAAAGATTTACAACTTCATAAACATGTATGTCTTATGGACTCGCAATGGATAAATTGATTGGTAATTGTTAAGCTGAAAAAAATCAGTGAACAAATAATTGGGACTCGATCTTTAAATGATGGATAAATTTACAATCATCACTAACCTGGCATCCAGAAAAATGAGCTTGAGATCAAGACTTGCACGAAACATGAACATGTTACAATGTAGCTTGATCTCCGTGATGGCACTAGGAGGTAGAGAGTGACCTACAGCCACTAAACCAACGTTCTGGTAGCAGGCGTCGTAGGGAGTGGCAGGGTCAGCCCCTAGCTGCTTCATCTTGAGATATCCAGAGCAATGGATCACCTACAACATGAACATGTTACAATGTAGCTTGATCTCCGTGATGGCACTAGGAGGTAGAGAGTGACCACTAAACCAACGTTCTGGTAGCAGGCGTCGTAGGGAGTGGCAGGGTCAGCCCCTAGCTGCTTCATCTTGAGATATCCAGAGCAATGGATCACCTACAACATGAACATGTTACAATGTAGCTTGATCTCCGTGATGGCACTAGGAGGTAGAGAGTGACCTACAGCCACTAAACCAACGTTCTGGTAGCAGGCGTCGTATGGAGTGGCAGGGTCAGCCCCTAGCTGCTTCATCTTGAGATATCCAGAGCAATGGATCGCCTACAACATGAACATGTTACAATGTAGCTTGATCTCCGTGATGGCACTAGGAGGTAGAGAGTGACCTACAGCCACTAAACCAACGTTCTGGTAGCAGGCGTCGTAGGGAGTGGCAGGGTCAGCCCCTAGCTGCTTCATCTTGAGATATCCAGAGCAATGGATCACCTACAACATGAACATGTTACAATGTAGCTTGATCTCCGTGATGGCACTAGGAGGTTGGTAGCAGGCGTCGTAGGGAGTGGCAGGGTCAGCTTCTGTATTTGTTAGACAAGCATGTCTTAATGTTGTAATCAGGTCATTTATGACCTGATCAGCATCTTTCAATATTCATGACTATATAACATAAAGTGACTAAAATTAAAATATCCAACGATAACAATTATTGACGATGTCAACTTTTTTCTAATCATAGTCTAATAACCCCTAGTGTTCATAGTGTTTAACCCCTGCAGATTTATGGTTATCTGTTAAACCTTTATCCACAAAAGATTTTAATTTGATAAATGTCATAAAATTAAATGATCACGTCTCAATCTAGATTTCTGTGGCACACAGCGATATGGCCTGCAAAAAGCAAAGCCAACGAAAACAATTCTAACTTCTGACCGTAATCAAATACCTTTGTTCTGGATTCCATATTAAATTTTTACAACGCATCTTTCCCAGTCGAAAATCATAAAAAAAATCCAATCCAGTGTAAGATGTCAGCCAAGATCTCGGGAAGAAGAAGAAGAAGCACAGAAAGTGGTCTCAATTTGAACTTCTTTTTGGACGAGCCAAATACCTATGCAGAATGCATTTTCAAAATTCATTCATCAGCATTGAAATTCACCCGAAATTCTAAATCACGTTCCCACCACATTGACTTTTCTAACTTTACAACCGCATTCCGCCCATTCACAAATACACATTGAATGAAACCTTCCTCAAGTCGGAGTCCAGGAACCCATGAACCTCTGGACAAAAACAAAGCCCGTCCAAACACCTTCGGGCATGGCGAGGAATAAAATGGCCCCTAATGCGCAGGGGCGGCGCGCCGCGGCATATATTACTGGGCTCACCTGTGATTTATCATTCCCACCTTCAATCACTCCCTTCACACAGATATTTCACACGCGCGTGTCATTGTTTTTGGTCACGTTGAGCATTATGTCTCCCACCCCACCCTTGTTTGCAGGGTGTTCTGTTCTATTTGCAGGGTGACGCACGTTTTGTCGAGTTTCGAAAAAAGCGTAGGAGAGAAATGGGTCGGTAATTGATTGGTTTGATTTTTTTACCAGAGAAATAAATTTTGGTTCCAAGGTTGGCGTATGTAAAAGAAAATGTAAGAGAGACATAGGTTGATAATTGGTTTAATTAATTTCTTTTAATTTTAAAGACAGTCATTTTGCTGCTCTTGGCACGTCAGGTTGGTAAAAGCACAGACAATGGGTGTTATATTGTCTGTGGTTAAAAGTATAAACGTTTTGTAGTTGGGTTGGTGTTTGTAAAAAGGTGTAAGAGTAAAATCGATCGGTAATTGATTGATTAGATTTTTTTATTCATAACGTTTTGTAGTTTGGTTTATATTGAAAAGAAAGTGTAGCGAAGAAATCGGACGGCGATTGGCTGTTTTGATTGATTTATTTAACGAGGCATAAAAGGAATCATGGTTTTGCTAGAATATGACCGGTGTTTATGTATCAAGTTGAAGAGCGTGATTTAAATTCATATTTTTAAAATCCATAAAGTTGTTTGGAGGCGTTTGCCATAATTGGATAAGAAAATGTAAAACCCACGGTTTACTAATCCAATATGGAAAATGTCCGCAATCAACCTTTAAATAATCCAAATACATAACACATGTGTATAATACATATGTTAATTAATTAAAAGTAGTTACATTTTTATGTGTTCTACGCCAATGGCATTTTTTGCGGTTTGAAAGGAAACTGCCCTTGTTACTATCTAACGTCGACCTTTTTTGTTAGATAGCATAATTAATTCTTTGTTACTTATAGGAACTGAACTAATGTTAATTTACATTTCTTTATTAATTTCATTGATAGTGTTAACACTTTATCTAAAGTTAATTCATGTCATTCCTCAGAGAAATTACTGTACCAATATTTTAATTGTTTGAATTTAGATGAAGAACATACATCAAACGTTATCAAGTTGACTTATAAACAAAAATATATCTCTCAAGAAGATGCTTTGACGGTTGTTGTGTATTTTTTTGTCGGCTATAGCCTCCATCCCAAACGACCGAACCTCACTTTAGTGACTTCACATTTTTAGGTGATCAGGATTCTAACCGAGCTAAGGTAAAACGAAACTTATTAGATTATTGAAACCTGTAGATTATTCAAAATGCAAAAATATCGTTGAATTGGAATATAAGTTAAGTTTGCATAACGAATTATTAAACCATACGAAATAAAAATGATAATAATATAATTTAAACACCATTTGTCCATAGGTTCGATTCTAAATAAATACAACCGTTGCCAAGACGCAAACAAAGAATTTAGTGATATGAAGATTAAGAGAATAATAATCATCATGATTCACCTCAATAAAAAAGGAATTCCTTTTTTTATTGAGGTGAATCATGATGATCATAAATGATTTGAAGTCAAATAATCATTTTGATGAATTCCCGTGCGTTTATTAGTAAAAATACACCTAATTAAACAACTCTCATGAAATAAAAAATCCACAGAAACACCCTTTGCCCTGCTTGATTCGAAGTCAAATCATCGTGTTGTCAAAACGCAAACTGCTATAAATCAACAATAGTGTGGAGAACAATTCACTGATGACAAAGGGAATCACAAAATAATGATGTGAACAATAAGTCCCGTGATATTCTAGCGTGTGCCAAACAATAGCACGGCCGTGGGAGCCTGCCTACTTGATCACGGCGCGCCTGCCCTAGCTGAGGATATCCTGGAGCCTGCCTCTTGGATCATCCCTTGATCCCTTGAAAAACATCACGTTGTCTCTCCAACAGTCGTTAATTATTACAGTTCGTCTAGAGACTAGAAATTCAAGAGGCAGTGAAAATAAGATTGTCGGCTTGCTAATGCGAATATGTTTTTCATATTTACATTCTAGTAATTATTGATGACAATGTTGATGTTTCAACGATAACTTATTGATTTATTGTATCTCCATGTAGTGTTGTTGCAAATAAAAATATTGTGGATTAGTTTGCTTACAATATAGTGTCAAAATGGGTTATAAAAAGTATGTTTTATGAGTAGGGGTCTAGTATATGTAGTGGAATCTCGTTATTTTAATAAAATATTATTTGACGTATTTTCGGTCCAAAACTATTTACAACACATGTTAAGCTATTAAATTTAGGTCGATTTGCCTACAGATGTGGCAATAACGTGGTTGTTATAAAGATCATGTTTGAATATAAACCAAGTAGAAGGGAACATTTGATCATTATTTGTATATCTTTTCGTAAAAGGCAATCAAAAGAGTGCAATACGGTTTTCATAAAACTTTATGGAAACCCCTAACTTTGACACTCAATAAATATACAGTACCACATGCACCTCAGCAATCATAACTTAATTTTTACTAACCAATAAAAGGGTTAGTATGTAACAAAAACAAAGCATTATTCATGCAGTTGTAAAAAAATTAAAAGCACCATAAAAACTCTTATAATATAAAAAATAGGTTACCTTATATCCAGCTGTTGTTAGCCCTGCGTTTCTTTTCGCTAGAACACATTTCATGCGGAGGAAAAACGCTCTTTCTAGCTCGAACTCTGTAAATACAAACAGAAGATTCAATTTAACAAAACTGATTAAGAAGGAAAGTACGTTATAAAAGAGAAGTGCATTATTTGAGAAAGGTAAACAGAGAAAATATAAATATAGTAGCTTTTCACGTTTTCATAAAACCCAATCAACGTTTACCCTCTTAAAATTTCATCATAGAACTCTAAAAGCTCAGGGACCGAGACATAGGACGATACATTAATGGGAATATGCTTATAGTAATACTCTTAGGTACGCAAATTATCTCTCTGTAAAATTTCAGTTGGTACAGGGTTCACGTGATGGAAAAAAATAAATGCCTCATCTTTAGAACATAGCTGAGTATTCTACAACTATTATTCAATTGAGTAAATATTATTAAACAATTAATAGCCTAATAATAACTGTTGTTATTGCGAAAAATTACCTACAACTTGACCGACAAGCCACTTGGTCGACAAGCCAGTTGACCGACACAAGCGATAAACTGGCTTGTCGACCAAGTGGCATGTCGGTCAAATGGTATACCTATGCGAAAGGGCAGTCACTAACCTGTAGCCAGCGGGGAGTGTGTGGAGGACGGCTGGAGCTGATGGGGATTGAGAACAGCCGTCATCTCGGGGTGATCCTCGGTGTGGATATACTCGAATATAGAGTTACCTGTCAGCTCCACCTGTAAAACAATATAGGGATCAGTGGGGGGCGAGCTTTGCCTCAGTAAGGTATATATCCTAGGCCGAATATACTAGAAAGTAATTAAAATACTGAAAAATGAAGTTAATCCGCAAAACAGCAGCATAAGGATCAGCTGGGGAATAAGCTTTGCTACAGGAAGGTATACATCGTAGTCATATTATATTTGAAGGTAATTCAAATAACTAACTAAAGAGTACGCTGCGAAAAAACAAGTGTGTTTTATTACATGCATAGGGAGATGTACTGAAGTTGTTAAGTGTAACAGAGTTCGCCTAGCAGTCAGGTTCGATCCTAAAAAAGGACTTTTTATGGTTCGAAAATCGATCAAGCTGTATTTGTTTTTATAAATTACTAGCAGCTATAACCGTGCCTTGCAACGGGTTCAGTAGCCTATGCAAAAGAGACAATGCTGGTTCTTTAAAAATGGTTTCACACAGACCATTTAATTTAGAAACGCAATCTATACTTATTTAATACGCAAGCAGATTTTTTGTGACAATTACTCCTCCGAAACTACTGAACCAATTGACATGTTTTTGGTGTCATTGGAAAGAGCGTAACTTGAAGTTGTGCAGGAAACTTTCTTTTTAAGGAAATAATTAGAGAGTGAGGCCCTGGGGCCCTTTAAAGTTTCGTATTTATCCATAAGATTAACATGGGAAACAAAATTTGTTATGGAACTCCAGCTGTTGTCAGAAATAAAGAGTGAAATATTTATTGATGGTATCCTTGGTAACAAAGAACAAACCCACAAAATTTTAAAATGTAAACAAGCAGAACTAACTGTCAAACTAATTTTTATTTCACAATTCCACACAGCTGGTTCAAACATATTAAATACTGCATGATTATTAGAACAGGAACAGTAGGGATCATAAACATTAATAAAATATGTCACTCGCCCGAATCATTTTTGTCTATGCCCGAATGTAAACATTTAACATTGATTAAATTGATCTGTCGAACTATGTTAATGTCATTAGTATGGAATTATTTCAGTTACATCATTTGTTAATCGAGTTTGTTTCAATATTTTTGAACTGCTGTAATAATATTTTACAGGAAATAATTGTTAGATAAATTAATGGATATAAGTAATAATGCAGATTCTTCAATCTTTGCTGTTATTAAAATTGTGTATCCGCAGGAAAACTTCAGACTAAGCGAATTTCCATTTACCTGGCTTAATTAATACAAAGATATACCCTGAAAATGGTAATTTTTCCCTATTTAAATAGCATTAAGTTAATTTTAATATGAGTACTTAGGTTTGCTGCTACAAGGAAGGTAGGTGTGTTTTTGTTGAAATGTCGATAGCTAAGTATGATTGTTATTGGTTTGCAAATCCTGTAATACTTTACAATTGCTCGAATTCGAGCAACATGTACACTAGTTGAACTGTATTGTTTAACTTGATAATTGTACGTTTTCGTTCACTCAGACCGTGAACACTTACTTCTGGCTACCTAGGATACAAAATCAATGATAGGGATCAGATTTTAAGGTATAATAATAGTTTGTACTGTAAACGAAAAGCTATTCATATAGTTCCAAGCCTGTCAATAGAGTAATTTTATTAACATATTTTAGTGAAATTATAATCAGGCAAATTAATGCCAAAGAGAATAATTATGTTCCATAGATTTGCTGTTTGGAGATAAACTTTTAGTGATAAGAAGTATTAACTGGCTACTCCGATTCCCAAACATTATTTTTGGGAAAAATAAACCAAACAAACACATTTGGTTTTTTTAACAAATAGGAAAAAAGAAATTCAATAAGTTAATAAACTATGCACTTAAAAAATAAAACGTCTTATTGCCACAATATAAAAAAAGTGATACAATCAAATTTTATGTAAACGGTTAAGGTCATTTAACAAATAAAAATATAGGCATATGGCACATCAAAATGAAGCTTAGAGTGTGTAGATTTGCCGAAAAGTGTTGATATGGACGAATTTCCTAAGGGCTCTGCCCCGCAGGCTGATTTCCAAAGGGCTACGCCTGGCATGCTTTCAATGTTTAAATGATTTAATTTAATTTAGTTAATGAAACAGCTGGTCAGTACAATGAACTGGTGTTTGTTTATTTACTCGAAAAAGATGTTTGTGTTGGCTATGTAGTAGATTGAGGAGGGTTATGTTTGGTTTTAAAGTGAGGTTGTAAACGTTTTGTAAAGTATTGCTCAAAGATTCATGTTTTAATTTAAGAGTAAGCTACATATCAAGAGGCTTGACTAAAATTGAAGAATTATGGTAAAACATGTTATTCATGAAGCATCAATATGAAGCAATTGATGCTATTGCTACACTAAGGTATGTGGTCATATTCTTAGGGATCTATTCTATTAACATCAAAAGTAGGGGTTTGAAAGTAAGTAGGTTTACGCTTTTAAATCAGTTTATATTTTCAAACTAAATCATAGAGTTGCTGTATTTTAAAACACACATCAGCACCACTTTAATGGCTCTCTAGGTCACATTTTCTTCCCGTTGCAAAGCACGGGTATAGCAGCTTGTTATATATTAAATTAAAAACATAAACATGACTGTGAAATCCCACTTAGACAATTCTCATTTTGTATCACAGCTTTTTGTTGCTGCTTGGTTCAAATATGCTGTTGTCTTCAATTTAAACAATTAGTAGTGCTGCACCCTGTTGGTAAACCTGATAACTTTTTAATGCTATTGAACATCACAGAATCATTTTTTTTAGTTGAATCAGCTGTTAAGATTCTTTAATTCCATTTAAATATGAGTACTCATAAGGTTAACATGGGAAACTGCAGAGCCACTGGGGCGGAGCCCTTTTGACGGATCTGCACCAAACTTCACACAAACCATCCTTGAAGAAAGCTTAATAATCCCTGAAAGTTTCATTGCAATCTGTCAAGTGGTTTCGGAGTCCATAACGTTCTAATATATATACAAACTTCCCCTTTTATAAATACGAGAGGTCGTCCAGTGGTCGAAACTCGACCAAAAATATGTAATGTACTCACTTCTCTATTTTCACCCCACACTGTAAATAAAACATGTGATTGGAGTTTCTTCCATTTGTTTTGATTTCCTGTTTATATTTCGTTGTTATTTCGTCACCAGCATGGCAACGCATAAGATCCATGTTAATTTTTTCAAATCTTTAAACTCATTTTTTGTGCTTATCTTTGAGCCTATTTAAATTTATAATGGGATTCTGCACGCCTACAGGAAAATAGCTTTCTAACGGTATGCGTAGATTTTCCCTACGATGCACACGAGCTGAGAAAAAAGGTTTTAAAGAAACATGCTTGCCTATTAATATATAGATAGATAGATCTTGGCTAAAGAAATAGTCGTTGTTTGTGAAAAATGTTAACAAATCGTCTCACTAATTTCTGCAACACCCTGCATTTACAACCTTAAATGCGTAAGCATAGAACGGAGGACGTCTGTCTTGGTGAAGTGAAATTAAAACGCAGTGACTAGTAGGTACCAATCAACTAAATTTAAAAATCCTCTGGTCATTCTCAATAATATTTTAGCATCAAATAATATCGTGTGCAGCACATTATTTTTTATAGGGGGCAAACAATATTCATACAAACCCTAAACAATAAAAAAAGTAATGCGACATTTCACCGTACCTGAGATAGTCCTAAGTGCACAGAGGCAGTCTCCGAGATGTACATTATCTTTCCGTCTGGAGCGACGACGAAAATGAAGCCATCAAGAGTCTGTAAACAAAATATTAACCAGGATTAATTATCATGCACAATTTTAGTAGTTCAAGATTAAGCCGTGAATTTGATTGATTTGTGAGTATTTTTGCTCGAGTTACTACTTTAGGTTTCATGGTTGAAAAGTTTACCTGTAGTAAATGTGATCCAAGTTCCTTGATACAGGCTTCTCTGGGGTGTATGGGGGGCGGCGCAGCACCCCAGGCGTCGCCTAGACCTGAAAAAATAAGAAAATTTACTTAATTAATTCCCTGAAACTCATTATTGGTAATGTTTATGATATTTGAGAAATTATTGTGGACACTTTCCATTACTGAATTGTTGTCTCAAGATTTATTTCCAGTTGTGATTAATGTCGTTTAGAGTTTTCTACGAGATTGTCATTGCAATTTCAATATTTGTTTGGGTTTCTGTAAATATCTTGTGTATGATTCGGAGACTGTATCACATGAGGGTCAGATTTCAGATCAAACGTGAAAACTGTTGTAATCGTAATGAGAACTGTCCGCGACTACAATCAGCTGATGATATAGGCTAACGAGTAGCATTGACTATTGGATACTACTAGTGTAGCGTAGACCGGATAAAGTTTGATGCAATGTTACTCGTCATTTGCATATCATATTCGTATTCGTATATATAATCGTGATTACTACTTCCAAAAAACCTTTTCACGTCAACAAAAGGCAGGATTTAAATTTAATGTAATTTCTTCGCGAATTTATTAATCGAATCAGTTTTCCATAGCAAAATATTTTGTAAAGGGGTTGATACATCATAATAATACTGTATACTTGGCTACAAATGTGACAAGAAAACTGTTTGTTGTCATATTAAACTGCAGTGAAAACGGTCCTTTTGAATACATGTCTAGCTGGTTTCATGTTTAATGTTGATCCGTTTCTCCCAAGTGCGATAAAGAATCAGCAGGAGTCGAATAAATCAGCTGAACATGTTTTTACTTAAAAAGTAGTCCGCGGATTTTGAAAATAGTCCCAAATGATAAAACGGTTTACGTTATCAATTACTTGGTAACTATGTAAGATTTTTTTTGCTGTTTTCACACTTTATATTTCACAACAGTGTTGACATTTAGAAAATGTTAAACGAAAAATATCAGTAATTTAAATTTGCTATCATGTTGGCGGGGTAATACAAGCTGCATTTTGATAATGGTGACGGCATGTTGGTTTGCATACATCACAGCCATATGTTGGTTATTTGTTGAAAAAAAAAACACAGTCACCAATTTGGTAACTAATTCACAAAGAAAATACCCCCACCGCAGCAAACCTTCAGACTAACCCAATTTCCTTTTGCCTGAATTTTTAAATTAAATCTATTTAAATAACATTAGGTTTAACGAGTACCTAGGTTTGCTGCTACAGGGAGGCTAATAAAGTTTTTTTTTTTTTTTGGAAAATAATAGTAGCTTAGTATAAAATAAATACATTTGCCAAGTTGAATCAAAATATTTCCATGAAACAAACTACATCATTTTAAAATATTCTCCATAAGAATAACATGGGAATTTTTAATTGGAAATTTTAGAAATTTTCTCCTTAGCCAATAACCGCACAAAAACACTTTGGTATACTAAATCATTGGTTTTTAAGCTCTTTAAAATGTTCTAGAGAGGAATTGGGAAATTTTGTGTATTGAGGGTCAAAAATGAGAAACCCCAATTTTGACCCTATAAAACCCCCTGTAAAACCCTGTTCCCATGATCCGATCATGCTGGTTCGCAAACTCATTCGAAAGTGTATCCCGCCTTACACCTTCAAACCAAATTTCATGAAAATCGGACAAAAATTACTCAAGTTATCGCGTTCACAGACGTATATATATATATACATATGACATATAACGAATAGTGTTTTTGGCCTCTAGGGGCATCAAAATGAAAAGTATATCGGTCCCGGCTCCAGGTCTTACCGTGCCACCTACGGTAATAGCTACACTATAGGGAAATTTGCTAAAATATACAATATTTTTGTTGAAATAAAGAATAAAATAATAGAAAGCCTATGTCAGTGGGACTGGAAGTGTATTTTTTACCTGTGCCTATTTTCGTTGAACTTGACATGAATTTCTAAGTAAAACTTGTCATTGAAATCACGTTTTTTACTATCTTTAGAGCCAATGTTTATAAATACATTACAGTATAAACGTTTGAACGCTAGCTGAAGCTAATACAGCTACAAATAGTTCCAACAGGTCGTTTCATGTTCTCCTTTGTACCGCAGTTACGGCCGTAATGTGCGCATAAAATTACGGTTTTGATGTCGTCGTTGCCAAAACATTATCAATTGTTACATTCTGCGAGATTTATGATTTGGCAACATTGCCATCATAAACCAACCATTACCAGACATTGTTGTACTGTTTTGCTGTCTGTGCCAAGAGCTATGCTTTGAATGGTGTAAGTAAACCTTTCATCCGAGAGTAAAATCGGAAGGATTTTATGTGTGTTTCGTGTTAAGTAACGTGTTGATGTCGACTAAATAGCTCTCTTAAATTTTGGGTGGATTTAACGATTTTTTAAGTTAATGCGGTTTTATTGACTACCTGTGTGAATAACATTGGTTTTAAACAGTGCTAGTAGTTCGTAATATTGTAAAATCTTAATTATTTTTGGCGTGTTCGAAGTCGACTAAGTTCTTCACGGTAGATATTACGATTTGGATTTACAGTTTGGCTATAAAACTAGATAACAATTTGTATATGCAGTACACAGTTACATTTTTTTCGATTAGTAAACATTTTTTCAATCGTTTCATTATCAGCAAGTTTGGTTAGTTTGGTTAGGTTATGAGTATGACAGTTTAATTAAATTTAACCTACAAACGAACGATACGTTTCGACAGCGACAACAAAAGAGATAACAAGTTGCTGCGAGTCGCAACAGTTTGGGCTATGCTGATGCGCCGTAATATAAAATTACGTATTTTATATCACCCAGAACTTTACTACAACTAACCCATAACCGAATACTATTTACACAGAAAAAAACCTATGCAAACCCTCTTTCTTGCTCTAGTTCGGTATCGGTTTCACATTGATATTAATCGGAATTATCTCTTAGATAACATAGATTGGTGATTTGGTGGGATTTGAACCCGGTATCTAAAGGACCGAAGTCCCGCACACAAGACCAGCTCCAAACCCCTTTCCCCAGTTACAACTATTTACGGATTCCCCGGACAGAACTCCCTCCGCCCCTAGGGGGTAGTTCAGTTAGAGCACAAATGACGCATGTAAGGGGGTGCAATCACCGTGCAGCCGCATCTATTAATTCGATTCTGTGATTGTTATACGTGTGATTAGCGTCGTTTAGTGTTAAGGGTACGACGTGTCATTGGGGTGTCTGTCTGTCTGTCCGTGGTTATCACCCTTATCTCTAGGCAGGCTCTGCTGCATAAACATGAGGCCCTGAAAAGGTTACTCGAGACGTTTGGTTTGATTAGGGTGAAGATGTTTGATTGTTATTCATAACCATGAATTTTAGGTTTGTATAGTTTCGAGTTTCTTATTTGTAAAAACACTTAGTAACTCGGCTAGGATTTGTATCTTTAAATTAAATTGATCTAAACTTCCGAAGGTGACAAAATTTCAATGTATCTCCGGTAATGGTAAACGAACTATTTAGTCGAAATCAGCTTTAATGATGATGGACATGCAACAATTAAATAAATAAATGAGGCTCTACCCACTGGTTGGTTACCGCGTAAACATTCCCACAAAAAAAACCTCGTGGCAGGATTAAATAAAGTGTTTATCGAGTTTAAATAAACTGTATAATATTCACAAAGATTCTATCTATGCACTGGATAAACTAAAACTTCGTAATTGTTTCTTTATGTAATTACAAAATAATTTTGAAAATCCGAAAATTAGTCTTTTTCACATGTGATTTTAACTTCTAAATAATATTTATAAATCAACTAGCTGTGTACCCGTTCTACGCACGGGGATCTTATAATATTCAGTTGAAACCTTCTTATATAACGAACAGCAGTTGGTTTGCATATTTTAAGATATGCTGGCCAAACTATTATACATAGCTTCATTTTATGTTGTTTTTTGTTGTTCCGGATCGGTATGACAATCAATAAAAGGTTAAATTACCTCTGTGTCTGCCGGTCGATCCTATAACGGTAGGCTTACTTTTATTTTTACTATCTGATCTCGTTTGCATGGCTCAATCACGTCCTGGTTGAAGTTCGTTCGCTACGCTCACTCACCTGTATGTTGGAGCTCGTTCGCTGCGCTCACTTTCCTTCAGGTTAGCTCGTTCGCTACGCTCACTTGCCTTCAGGTTAGCTCGTTCGCTACGCTCACTCGCCTCCAGGTTGCAAATTAGCTGTTGTCATAAATGTAAAAGAAATAATAGTGCTAGTGCTGCACCCTGTTGGTAATCCTTGTAACTTTAATGCTATTGAACATCACAGAACAGAACCAACTTGTTTAATTGAAACAGCTGTTAAGATTCAATAATTTCATTTCTCATAAGGTTAACATGGGCTTCCAGAAATTCCACGTCAAAAATCGACAAAAACTTGATTTTCAAGGGTTTACTGTTAAATATCTAACTGTCTCATATTCGATGAAATACGTCTAAAACCATCTCATATATGTATAGTATTTGGAAAATAAGTTTCAGGCGGGACAGTGCTATAGTTATTGAGGAGTAGTTGTAATAAAGTGCGTATTTTAGCGTTACCAAGAGAATGACAGATAGACAGACAGACAGACAGACAGACAGACAGACAGAAATTGAGATAAGGTTTGATTCGGTTTCTCTGACCTATGAAATGTAAAAATAACCAAAAAGTTCATTATTCTAAGCAATGTACAGACAAAACTCTAATTTTATTTATATAGATTTTCCCCATCCTTTGTAAGCTCTGTTATGTTAAGACAAAAAAACACACAAAAACAATCATTGTAAACAAATTAGTTTAGAATGTTAAGAGCTTTTACAATAGAGGCATGTTCAATTCCGAACTATATGTCCATCCATATAATTTACCATCTTGAATTGAAATTTGAAGTTTAGGCTGCCGGGTAGAAACCCTTAACTAATTCATAAAAATAAGACTTTTGCGCCCCTGTTGTCTAAATTGTATTGTCAAAATGAAAATTACGTTTTAATGACAGTTGCCTGCTGTCAATGAGTAAAAAAAATCTATCTAGTTCATACAACAATTTTACTTAATCCTCTGAAAAAATGACTAGTTACAAACGGGCATGAGCATGACTACAATATTATATTTTCTAAACAATATTAGTGACATGCATAAACATAAACATTTTACAGTAATGCTGTACATATTTTTCCGACATCAGACAGAACTACCATAGCAGAAAACGGAGTTACTGTTTGACAAACAATGTATCCATAGAGATTTTCGGCATCAATCGTGATTCGTGACGTCAGAAAGATTGCTGCCAAACTTTTCGCCCTTACTGTACTTTGAAGAGACATCTTTAGTAGGACTGATTCGCATCCAGCTAAGTAGAAGATGCACTGAAGATACTTCTTTAAAGACTAAGGGTCTAGCAGGAGGTCACGAACTGTGGATATTTATAGGCATGCACTGTGGATGCGATACTCCCTGGTGTGGATTAACGTCCGCACGGGTGAGTACTACGACTATCCGCAGTACCATCCTGATAATTAGACCAATTCGTATATACCAAGGAAAAAAAGTGGTTCGGATTCCACTATAAAACTGTAGGTCCCTTAGTCGCCATTAGCTGTATGGGCTATTAATTAACAGCTGTGTCTAAGGAATATGTCGGCCTTAGTCACTAACAAGACTACAAGATCGCGCCACTCATCATACACTCATCTCCATTCATACTTGGCTTAAAATACCTACTTTGTACGGTCGCCATTTCAAAGAAAAGTATAAAGTATAAAGTATAAGCAATCCGGAACTGACGCGGTTGACGACAAAACCTCTGGATGCCGATGACTTTGCTAGTGAAATATATTTGACATGCTAGAATTAACAATACTGACCGTCTGGGAAGACGTGCCTCATCTTGAGGTAGCTGGTCGTCAGTCTGATGATGGATGCCTTGTCCAGCTGGGAAGTGATGGCAGCAGGGAGTGGCAGAAGTTTGGCCAACTCCAGAAACTCTGCGTTCTCCTTCTCTCGCCGACTGCGGGCAGCGTTTTTGCTCTTCTCCTTCATACCTAAACACAAACACAGTACGTGATAAGTGATAGGAGTACTATGCACACTACTATGCAAGTAGTGTAATGGGACGGTAGGAGAGTTCTTTTTTCGTCCCCTCAGGGAAATGTTGGCCTAAACGCGAGGAACGCGTCATACATTGAGATGAAGAAATTAAAGAACATGAAAGTGACTCCCCCACAGAGTTGTTCTTTTTGGAGCAAAAGGTCAAATTCTGCAGCGAGAGGGACATCAAAGAACAACCTTTTACACTAAAACCATTTTCCATTTAATTTTGCATACTCTTAGGAAGTGGATTTTTAACAGTTTTTTCGTATAAACGCTGTGTAAATGTGAAAATGAGGTTTGGGATGAACTTTGTTAGACTTCTTGGAATTGTTTGACGGAAAATCGACAAAGATTTAAGGGTGTGGACATTGTAAAAGGAATATAAAAAGTAGGGAGGCTCGTCAAATTAAAACCAGCCTTTTTTGGTTTTAAAAGCAATCCCATAAAGATTAGCCAAATTTTAAACTTTTCCACGAAAAGTATTTGGAAAATCCGGCAGCAAGAGGCAAGAAAACAAAATGGCGGAGTCGAGAGTCGTTGAGACAACAGAGCGTATAATTGACAACATGTTGAATATTTATAGCGACTCCGCCACTGTCAAATGTCGCGCTGAGTTTCTCTGTGGAAATCACTATCGTTGCGTCTTACTCTATGGAAATTACAAATTAGCATTGCAGAGTGGCAAGGGAATCTAGGGTAGCCGGGAACATAAGTCTTTTGAAAAATACTGTGTTCAAAGTATTTTATTCTATGTATTAAGAACAAATCGAATGTATTGTGGTTTTCTCGGTGAATACATTTGTTTTTCCAAATCGAAGCACCCTCTCTTATGTAATAATTTTATATCAGTGCAAATGAAACTAAACCACATAACTTTACATGTAATAAATAGTGAGAATAGCCACTAGAATTATGTAAAATATACTTTTATGATGTGCATGCTAGGAGTTTGTTTATGGTGAACATTAAACTAAGGTAACTAAGTGAGTACGTGACTGGCTTTCATCATTTATGGCGTTTTATGATGAGAAGACGAAAAAGAACGATTACCACGCACTGAGCCCTCGATTATAGTTGAAGTTAATTAAAAAGGTTTTGCCTTTTCGTTATTACCATGTAAAATGCATCTGCTTTTTCCTCTCTCGTGGGGATTTTGAATCTATCACTTTATTCTAGGACAAAATAGTAAAATAAAACCAGACTGTAAATGGTATCTTCAGGTCATTTGCAGGTTCGCTTCAAATCTAAAGGTTGTTGGTTTAGTTCCGAGCAAAACCGATTAATATACCTCGGGTTATTGGAGTGTTTATCAATTAATTATGATATTAAATAAACCATGCAGACGTCATAGAACCGAGACAAGGATGTGGACAGTTTCCTTGTTAAAAGACGTAAAAAACTATAATGACGCAGTAAAAAAAAATAATTAATTATGAAAATATAAATCCTAAAAAGTCCACCCTCATAATTCAATGACACAACGAACATGTTTCACATCAATATAATATAGATAGATAAATATAATATACAAGCGATACCAGGGTATGGACCCTAACCAAAAGACGTAGAAAATGTCGATGGCGTAGAAAAAACAATAATATTGATAATTATCTATACTAAAAAAAAATTTAAATACCATTCACTGACTCGCTGATCACTGTACAGTATCTCATAAATTACAAGCCATAAGCCACAAGAACTCATTGGGCATGGGGATTCCAATCTATCTAGGTGTGCAATAAGAAGCATTTTCAAGAAATTCCATAAGACTCTGCCCCAGTGGCTTTTAAAGTTCCCTTGTTAACCTCATGAACAAAAGATTAGTTTACATTTGAACTCGTGAATAAATTTGGATCTGCACTAAAGGGAACAGCTGGTTACATGTTATTACATAAAATGAAAATATTTACATTATTTTCGTGGCTTGAAAAAGTGTTTTACTGCATAACAGATTTTTAATAGTTACTAGGTGTGCGATGTGCTCTGCGTTAAGAAAGTAGTTACATGTATTTCCGCAATTTTTAGTGGTTTCCGCACCTTAAAAAATGTGTTAAAGGTATTTTTACGTAGGATCGTAGGAATGGTTTAGGAAGGTTTAGAAGAAAATTCCAGAAAGTTTGGAAATACCCAAATGAATTAAAAAATCAAGAAGTGTAGGCCCTACTCAGGTTGAACATTTAACTTTTTAAATTTTCGTGAGCGAAGCCACGACGGGTTTGCTAGTAAACATATAAAACCTAAAAGCTCAAACTTATACAAATATAATTTACCCCAATTTCACGAAGAAAACGGTTCCCACGCAGTGACTCATGGAATAAAAAATTTCGCGACTAATAAACCTGTAGACCAGACCATTGACGGGGCCAACGATGCCGACGTGATTTACACCTTTACACCAAGGTCCGCGGTCCCCAGTTCCTCCGCAGTTGCAGTTCTGTTCCGACATTCCCACGTCTAGAACGGTGACCTTGCACTCGGGAACCCCCGTAATCCTGTCCACATGTGTACAACCTCCTACATTGTCACCTGCAGACTTCAGGGCTTCCAGGAACTGGACGGCTCGCCCATGGGAATGGAACTCGCATATTACGGAAAGTTGGCGTTGGAAGAATTGTGTAAAAATGTAGAGCGGAATAACAATTTTTTTACCCGAGACTTATAGAGGATTTGCTGGCTAAGATTGTTAGATATGGGAATTATTTAATGTGTTCACGAAATTGTTAATTTTATTTTTAAACCCTCTAAAGGTCTTGTTACGTAGTGATGTCAATCTTGTGTTTAAAATGCATTAATTGATTGTCAAATACCAAATGGCGGAATCGATTTCGCTTGGAATAGATCTAGCTACCTTCAGATATGTCTTTTGTTTTATACAGTAAAAATGCATACCTGTTAATGGGTAGACATTTTAGGTTTACCATAACCAAAAATTATTTGAAAATGACAACTTATTGTGTAAAAGAGTGTTTAAAATAACTCCTCAATTACCCACAGCTGAATGCTAAGCCAAGTTGTCAAGTTTCATTTTAATTTAAAACTGATTCATGGGAAAATACATCAACTTATAGACTCCTGCAAAATATAGATAACATTATGATCAATTGGCGATCTGGGTTCGTGCTGAAAGATAACCAAAATCTATTTGGAATAAGGGATATATTTCTGTTAATTTTGGTTTATTTTATTGGTTTATTTTGGTTAATTTTGGTTTATTTAGGTACTTTAAAACCACTAGAATAAATATGACATAGTAAAACGGGTGTTCAAGCAATATAAAAAAATTCTACCTGTCAATTGTTACTGATCACCAAAAGCGAATTTTACGACAATTAGTATATTTCCTTAACTAATAACTTCAAGATAAAATGTACAAAATTAGCGTTTTAAATATCTTGGTAACCAAAAGTCGTATAATATAATAATAATATTGGTTACTAAATTCGTTGTATTTTTAATCTTTATGAACAATTTGTTGGGGAAATTAAGAACCTTTGGCTAAAACATAAAACCACATTTTGGACAAAAAATTACAAACTTTTTCAGTCGTGCGTAGTTGGCATTGGTTAAACAATGCATAGGACTGCTTTATTTTTGTTATGAATCAGAGCTGTTTTAATGATTATCATTAAAATTAGCAATCCTATTTCGAATATTTTCTGTTAAGTGTACAGTTATATGTTTCGTATCTGTTAAATGTATTCTAAAAAAATACATTTCTACAACTGCGACTGTAATACAGTCCAAAACAAAAGCCAACAAAAGAAACAAAGATTTGAAAGAATTGTCAAGTTCCTAGCTCACCAGTTGCGCAGTCTCTTTATCTCAAGCGTGATACTTCCAACAACAATGGCATCAGCTGATAAAATGAACAGCTGGTGTTAGTAATCAAGTAGGACTAAAGTGACGTAGTAAATAGGCTGAGTAACCTAGAAAACTAATTACTAAACCCTTGCCATATGATTGCTACGCGAACAATTAAACAGTTAACAGCTGATTATAAGTTGAAGTTTCTATGAAGGATATGTAGTAGAATTAGGATAACACATTAGATCACTGTATAAACAACTCAAATCAGCTGTTTAGTGTTTATATTGATTGTTGAATCATCGTCTATTTCATACGCATGTAATTGATAGGCCTATCTTTAATAGTTTTTTGTGTTTTTTGTTTCAAGTGTAAAACGTGCATAGCTTATTATGACGTCACCTCAAGAAGTGGATCATTTTCTTATCCTAAAAATGGCGGAGTTATGGAACCCGCCGAAAAAATGTAGCAAACTATGAACGTCACAGCAGTACGTAAAGTTAACGATTGGTAAGTTAATGAACAAGGTACGTTTTAGCCATCATTTGTCAAAATAAATATTAATTCCTAACCAATAATACTAATTTAATACAAACTTACTTTTTTGAACTAATGGAAGGAATATAAACTAGAGACGTTGAACAATGATTGAAGCCAAAACAATGTTTATAGAGGGAAAGCTCTTTATACAGGGTATCTTGCTATGAACAAACTTTGTCACGTTATTCCAGCATGTCAAAAGAAACAAAAAAATTAATATAACGTGTCATTCCATCAATCTCATTCCGTTTTCGGTCTATCTGTCTGTATGTGATTTTTACAAAAACATTCATAACTAAGGAGTTTTCAACAGGAGCTAAGGAGGGAGCTACAGCGTTGAAATTCTGTAAAAAATTTTATCTTACTGACCACTATTTTTCTGTAAAATATGAATAAAAACTCTTTACCGTTAAAAAATGGCGGCTTTTAAAAACATTTGATGCCAAATTCCATAAAAACCGTTAATTTTACAAAATGTTAACAGAGTTCATGCAACAATGGAGAAATTTTAACATGATTTAAATGGAGAAAACTGTAGGTATGGCAAGAAGAAAAATTAATTTCTTAGTTATTCTTTGTCCAAACTAAGCCTATAAGATATCGTTGT